TCCAAAATTATAGTATTTTCTTAATACATGTAATATTTGAAAACTGCAACTTAAAGAAAAAAAAAAGAGAAGAAGCTTCAATAGCTTTGCTGGTCTCACCCACTTGTAATGCCTCAAAAACTACTTACAGTTGTGGAGATCAGCCAATTGCAACTGAAAAAATTATCACATTAGCAGATAGAACAGAAAACAAGCTTCTGTTCAGAGGTGTGGAGTTTCCTCAGGACAGTTTTGCAGTTTTAGTAACCTGGATCAGTCCATGGAAGGGCACATGAAGTACCAGAGCCAGTACAATGTGAAGGGGTCAGGTGCAAGAACAAGGCGGTTGGGAACAAGGCCTTACCCTTTGGAAGGCAGCAAACCTGCACAGCGAGCTCTGCTGTCAGAGGTGCTGAGAAAGAGGCAGTTTCACTTCTCAGGATGATTTAAATTGGTAGCCACTGCTGCCACCCAGGCAAAGCCTTGAGCTTTACAAGCTTGAACTCACTGTAACTGGGTGGAAAGGCACTTATGCTGTTACTTCTCATGTTCAATGCAAGTTCTGTATTCAAAATCAACAGCAGCAGCAGCTTGGTGTAGGGAGAAAGAAGAACATGATAGGTAAGGGAGTATCTTCTATTATAACAATTCACATAGCTGGAAAAACCAACACCACTAACTTCAAATAACACAAGAAGTTTCACAGATCTAAAATGGAAGAAAAGATTTTCAGCCACAGAGTTGTGCCTGTCTGTAGGAGGTTGTATTGAGCGGGAGGGGGAGGGGGCAGGAGGTAAAGCAACATATAATCAATATAATACAGGCACACTCACCTCTACCTCCCCCCAGATAACTTTAACGTAGGCTCTAACTGCCTCTGCGTTAGCAAACCTTCAATTCCCACCCAGTGCGAGAAGTATACAGAACCTGGTGGAGTAAAGAGTTAATCTTTTACTAGTGTATGAGGAGCTGTTTGAGCTTAAAAGGTTAACACCTACAATTAAGGGGAGAAGTAAGCTAAAGCGTGCCACTATAATTTTGCTTGAAGACTTATTTCAAATTCCTGGCTTTGCATATTCCCCAAAAAATTACACTACAAACAACAGAAAAAAATCATATGCAAGTGATGTGGACAGTAGTTTCTTGCTTTGAGAAGCAGCTTCAGGGGAAGGAAAAAAAAAAAAAAAAAAAAGAAAAGCAGCGACCTTGCCAAGAAAAACAGAACTTAATGCCTTTTTCAAGGAGCTCCCACATAATTGCCACTCAGAAAAGGGCTGAGGAATACGAGTCAAGAACACACCCAAGATGCATAGGAAAACTAGGACCTAAGTAGCAGGAAAACACTTGAAAAATTTCACCTCATGTGATGTCATTCTCAATACACAAGATTTGAAAACCCAAACAGCGCCCAAACATTCCTAGCATTGTTCAGAGTAGGCAACAATGAAGTGAAGCACACTTTACAAACTGCCAACTGGGCTTTGAAAGTCCTGCCAAGATACTACGAAATATCCTCCAAATAGAAAGTGTATTGCATCAGGTTTAGTCTACTTGAGAATTCTATTTTGACTTTGCTTGATGAGCATGTTCCTCTATACATCACTTTGAAAAAAAACCTCATCTGAGACCAAAAACGTGGGCAGAAAAAACAAACAAACAAATAAAACAACAAACCCACAGTTCATTTTATATACCTATTTATACACCCATATATTTTTATATACGAATTCTGCCTGCCAACTGAAGCGCTGGACTTGTTCAAACTGGACACAGAAATGACTGTGCAGGGATCAGTGCCTTGGCAAAAGCCTGTTTATACCACCCAAAGAAGGTATCCCACTGATCCTTCTTTAAATTCCTGATCTGTGATTGAATTCTTACTATTTTCAGCACTTCATCAGAAAAGCACATGCTGGAAATCTACTTGGACACAAGGATTTCAAGTGGCTGATCCAATACACCTTGCACAATCACTTGACCCAATACTGGAAGTACAATCCTGATAATAAAAGGATGTTGCCAGGGAAGAAAAAGCAGGCCAGCCCAATCCAGCAGCAGCCCAGAGTTATGTAAAACCAATTCTAAAATTAAATCCTCTCCTAACAAGAGCTAAGTATCTACAGGCCAGCTGTAGGACTCATTTGCTGATGTTTGAAAAAAAGCTTTCATTATGTCTATTTTGTCCCAATAGAGTAAGGTGATGCTACAGATAAAAAAAAATACCCCAATACACAAGCAGCCATCACACAAAAGATCCATCTGCAGCTCCTACATGCTGCCAGTAGGTTCTGTCATGTGAGTGATACTTCCAGCAGAAGAGATGAACTCCTCATACTGGAAGCCGACAACCGCGCAAGACAAACCAGGAGAACTATTTCTAGAGTCTATGTATCAAGTGGTACAGTGTTACACTTGCCCACCTTTGGGCACGCTGCCAACACAACCGAGAAATCAGTTTACTAAGGGAGTGACAACCTGAGCCAAAACACCATGTAATTTAATTTGAAGTTTTGGAACTAAAGTTGTTTGTAAAAAAAGGATTCCTTCGTGAAGGATTAATATTTTAGGGATTAAATAAACTGGATAAGCATGCACACAGCACTAACTAAAAAGGGACATCATAACTGCACCCTGAACACCTGGGCAAAGTGAAAATAGAGACAAACACAGCTGAAACAGAGATACAGATGAATTTTAAAGATAAATTCCTTAAAGAGCGAACCCTGCTCAGCAGGGACATGGATCTGTTCAATCAAACATAAAGTAAAACCCGTTCCTTGTCCTTGGTGTGCTCACAGGACACTTCAACATTTTCTTGTTTTCTGCTAGAAAATGGCATATAGTCAGAAAAGAAGGTTTATGTAACCAGATATTAAAGCAGACTAACTAATTAGTTAAGAAGAAATATTTTTTTTTCAGATCACTTAAAACCACTCTGATCTCTCATTCCCCACCCCCCCCCAGCAACTGCATAAGAAGATTTAACTTGCTTACCAAGTTTCACAGGACTCTTAACCGGAACTTCTACAGCTTATTGCTTTGTGGAAAGCAAGGTACAAATAAAACCAACCAACAAACAACAACAACAACAATAAAACCTAACCCCCAAACCACCACCAAATGCAGCTGCCACAAAGTTTCAAAAAGTCCTGGCCACATCAAATATGAAATACCTACACCAAGGATACAAAGACCAAGAGAAGCTTTAAAGCAGAAGTTGATGTCTCTGTAACCACCACCCAGCAGGAAGGAGAAAAATTCTCAGAGTTTGTCCCTTCAATTAAGCAATAAAGAGCTGGGGGTTTTGCTGTTTTAAGGCAGAACTTTGAGGAAAACAGGTGACAAAAATTCGGTATTTCTAATCTGACATTTCAAAGCTCAAAATCTTTTAAATCACTTAAATGTTTTTAAGATTTCCTAATTCAGAAAAACACAGGAAGAGAGGGAGGGGAAAGACCTGATATGGGCACAAAATATACACAAATTTACTTTGATTTTACACAAATATCAATTGTTAGGTAAGGGCAAGAAACAGAGAAATGAGTTTGCAGATACAGGAAAAGCTGCCAGAGCAAATGAGGAGACTCATCTTTCATGAAGAGCTCAAATTACGAACTCAAATAATAAAATCCTGAAATGCTTCCAAGTATGAGCAAAGAAAAAGTTCTCATCAATAACTACAGATCAGCAATGCTGGCAGACATTGATATGTTGAGTTTGTTTTCAGGGCTTTTTAGAAGAGATTTAGATCCCACTTGGGATCTTCGAGACAAGTCTGATGAGTTTTGGCCTTTTTTGTCACCTTCTCAAAAAAAAAAGAAGACTATTTACATTAAATCCTTAACAGAGCTAACAGAGTAATTCTTCTTGCTTTTCCTACAATTAAGATGTTTTACTTAAAAAATAATTAAAACGAATTAAAAATCCTTCTCTTTTCCTTCTACACAACAAGACTGTCCATTCTCCCCGCAGCCCTTCACACACAACTGAAAACCACAGCAGTCCCCAAAAACAGCGAGATAAACAAGAAGACAAAAAGTGATCCTGAACACATTTGTACTTCAAAAAGCACTTCAGAGGATGTGGTAGCGTCACGGGCTGTACAACCATGAATCAGAATTTATGTGGACCGAGTGAGTCCGGCTCTTCATCATGCGGTTTTCTCATCAGCAATAAACAGTGCTGTGTAACCAGCAGAGACCTGCAACAGGAATTTGCACAGGGCTTGCACGGGACCAGTCTGATGCCTCCACACGGTTCCTGCAGCAGGAAACAACGGAGGATCCCTGTTCCCCCCCGAGAAGACACCGTGTCCCTCTGCTGCACGATCCACGCCGACCTATTGCTCTCACCTTATATTTCCTACCTGGAAATATAAAGATTGAAAAGGCTTTTGAAACTCTGCAACAAGCCATATGCAGATAAGCCACATAAAAAGGAAGTGGGACACTACCTAAAAATAAGGGCGTAAAGTCAGGATACACTTCAAGCACGTGCGATGAGCCTTTGTTGCATGTTCAGAAAGAAAACAGATTATAGTCAGCAAGCAGGAATGGGTTAATTGAATCTAATACTTTAAAGAGCCAGCTCAGAGTCTGTAATTTAGGGGTTACAATGCACTGATTATAGTGTTCAGGGGAGAGAGAGAGGGAAGAAAAAAAAAAAAAGTAAAGAAAAAACCCCTTAACTATAGCGTAGCAGAGCTGTAGCTCCATGCCACCAACACAACTGAGGACAAATAAACAGAAATCTACAGACCCTATTTACATGCAGTTGACACAAGGCAAGTAGCATTCCTATTTCCCCAGGTCCTTTTCCTTTCTACACCGATTTCGGCCTAAACTCTGGGGAATCACCAGCCACCTGATCCCGCACAGTAACAAAGGGAGGCAGTGCAGCAGTAGCCGGGCTCAGCTCCCGCCGCTCCGCCGGGGCCTCGCTGGAGGCTGCTCCGCCGTGCCCGCCGCGGGGCCGCGGCCGAGCGGGGGCGGCCGGGGCAGCGCCGGGGCAGTGCCGCTCACCTCTCCTTGGAGTACAGCTCCCGCTCCAGCCGCCGCCTGCGGATGAAAGCCATGAAAGCCGCCCGGCCGAGGTGCCGGTGCCGCCGCCACAGCAGGCCGGGCCAGGCCGCGCCTCAGGGAGGCGGGGTGAGCGGGCCGGCCGTGGCCGCAGCCGGGCTGGCGGGCCCGGCCCGCCCCGTTTATAGCGCGGAGAGGCGGGGGAAGGTTTCTCAGGCAGCCGGGGAAAGGGAGCCTGGCAGCACCGGCGCTCTGCGCCCTCGCCCGGGCTGCGGCGTCTCTGCGGCCCTGCGGGGCCTCTGCGGCGCGGAGCTCTGTGCGCACACCGAGAGAAGCTCACGCTGTATCGCACCGCGAAACTGCCCCTGTGCCTCGGTTAAAGTAAAAATGGTCAGTGCAGTGCCATTGCAGTGAGATTCATTCCGCCCGTGACGCGCGCGGCAAGAGCTGCCCGGGCAGAAGGTGAAGTCCTGACAAGTGTTGAAAGCCTACAATCACAGAACATCCTGAGTTCGGAGGGACCCTTTAGGATCATCGACTCCCAACTCCTGGCCCTGCACAGGACCATCCCCAAGAGTCCCATCATGCGCCTGAGAGCACTGTCCAAGCACTTTTTGAACTCTGTCAGGCTTGGTGACGTGATCACTGCCCTGGGGAGCCTGTTCCAGTGCTCAGCAACCCTCTGGGTGAAAAACTTTTTACTGATATCCAAACTAAATCTGCCCTGACTCAGTTTCGTGCCATTTCCTCAAGTCCTGTCTCTGCCTAGAAAGACTTTATGGAAAGGGGAGGTAAATAAAATCCCTTAGTTCATGTAAAAACCCTTCCATTCATAGAATTGCCACTGCATCTCAAGGATATGCTTACTGACATGATCTCTTGTACAGTAGAAAAATGCTGCTTTTTGAGTATTTATAAGTTAAAAAAAACTGATTCATGGAGGCAATGTAATTTTCCACATAGGAATAAAAAGAGGTTTAGGCTTCTAGGTCTCAAGATATTGTCTGATCTACTCTCTATGCTGAGTCTGATTCAGGTGTATGTTGATCAGTGTTACTCAAACATTTTCAGTTTGTGGACATAAATATGAAGAAGTGTTGTCTTTCAGGGTCCTTTTAGGAGTAGTTCACAGAATCTAAGGAGGCAACAGATCAGAGTTTGGAAAACAGTGGTATCATCTGCAAGACCCACTTCTCTAATCGACTAGTAAAAGCACCTGTTTGAAGGAAATCTGCAATGCTTGGATGTAGCTTGTACAAATGCCTAGCAGCATTTATAAATATGTATTTGTCCAATAGCCAACCTGAATTTTCTTTGCTGCATTCTATGTTGTCATACTTCCAGCAGAAATCATAGAATCACAGATTCATACATAGATTTGGGTTGGAAGGGACCTTAAAGGTCATCTAGTTCCAACCCCCCTGCCATGGGCAGCAACATCTTCCACTAGACCAGGGGGCTCAGGGCCCCATCCAGCCTGGCCGTGAACACTTCCAAGGATGGGGCATCCACCCCTTCTCTGGGCCACCTGTTCCCATGCCTCATCACCCTCACAGTGAGGCATTTCTTCCTAATATCTAATTAAACCTGCCCTCTTTCTTTTTTGACGTCATTCCCCCTTGTCGTGTCACTACATGCTCTTGTCAATAGTCTCTCTCCATTTTGCTTGTAGGCTCCCTTCAGGTACTGGAATGCCACAATTAGGTCACCCCAAAGACTGCTCTTTTCCAGGTTGAGCAATCTCAATTCTCTCAGCCTTTCCTTGTAGGAGAGTTGCTCCACCAACTCTGTTCATCTTGATGGCCCTCCTGTGGATTCACTCCAACAGGTCAATGTCCTTCCTGTGTCAGGAATCCCAAAGCTGGAGGCAGTAGCCAATGTAAATAATATTTATGTACTTCAAATATGTTTTAATAAATATTGGTGTGTAAATATATATATATTTATTTACATAATTGTTTATATGTGCAGATATGTATACCATCTTCTCACAGACTAACTGGTTTTGTTCACTTTTGTTTTAGACTGCACTCACAAATGATTTTTTTTTACAGCTTTACTCTGGCTTCTTTCCGGTATGACTTTTACCTTTGTCTTAAGGTATAAGCCATCAGCACCAACAAGAGTGCGGTAATTATGTCCCATGTTTCACAGATGAGAGGAACATTTATAAATACATCACAAAAAGAACTTGTTTTTCTTATTATGACAGAAGCTTCTGCTCAGAACCTTTTCTAACATAGTGCCACCTAGTTCTTCCTGTTTTATGCTGTTCATGTAAGTTCTTCTCAGGTCTAATATTTTGCCTTAGCCTTGATGATTTCATCCTGCTAACTTTAGACGTTTAGCCTACCCATGAAATTAGTTTTGAAATCTGATTCTGTCTTCTGGCTCCTAGGTTGGTGAGAAACAGATTTTTCATATATCTATATTCTGTTGCATCTTGCAGATCACTAATGGAAATACTGAATGGAACTGAAATGACAACAGATCCTTATGGGTTCTCACTGCAGGCGCTCTCCAAGTCTGATTTTTGCAAGCAGCATGCCAGTTGGTTGGTGCTTTCATGAAAATTATGTTTCCTTTGCGTTTTGTTTTAATGAAACTGTTGTGGGATGGTGTCTAAATGATACTAAACTCAAGATCTTTGATACTTACTGTTTCTCTTTTTCTTCTGAATCAGTGCATTGATTGTGAAAAAGGACATTAGACTACAGTGAGTCCATGTGTTCCTAGCAACCTTATTGATCATGAAGTTTATTCTAGAATATTCCTTGAGGTCAAAATTAATCTGGATAGCTTTAGACCTGCTTTTCTTAGATAGATGCATTTTATCCTTTTTAATTCTCTTCAAACCTATATAGTCTTTTAGCAGTCCAGAGATTATTTTTGCTCATGTTTTTTGCTCATAATTAACTCAATTACATACAATTTACATAGTTTTTAACTTATTCCTTCTCTAAATTCTGTGTTAAGATAAATTTAACTGAGTAACTCAGCACTTCTAGTGTATTTCCAGAACATTTTCTTGTTGCCTTTTATACTCTTTTTTTACCTGTCACTCATTTTGCACTGTAGGCTTTGTAATTTTATTCTTTTATTCATACTCTTTTGTGTTACTCTTCATGTCTGCTTATTGTGACTTCTTTTTTCAAATCTTTGAAGAGCTTTTAATGTGATGTTAACACAGTCTACTTAAGCTTCCCCTGCTTCCTTTTGTTCACATCAAGATAGCTTGCTATTGTATGTTTAATTAAAAATGAGTTTATTGTTCTCGGTAGAAAATCTAGGTTAGCTTTAAATGACTGATCTCAGGCCTAGACCATACAGTGAGGAGGTTAATTAACTCATATGGAATGGCATACTGTTATGATAAGCCTGCCTTTAGTACCTAGACTAGCTTGATTAAAGCTATTAACTATTTCTAGATAACAATGCAATCCGTAGTTGGCAGTGCTGATATGCTTTTTCTTCCTCTTTTTGTCAGAGTAGGGAAGCCTATTTTGGTCTAATATGTCACCATCACTTTCACTCAGTTTACTTCCTGCCTTTAAAATCAAAATGAGCTCCTCCCTTCACAATGCATCTTAAAACTGTCTCTGTCCTGTGGAGCAAAAGTACATCCCTAAAATATTGCAAGAAGTTGATGGACGTTTTAGCCCTGCATTATTGTTTTTCTAACTGGTATTCAAGTAATTGAAATCCATTGTTATCTCATGGGCAAGCTTCTTGAATACCTTCCTCATTTGCTCAGAATACATCAGAAGAAGCACCAGCTTCCTCCTTTTGAAAACACTTGTAGTCTATTATTAAAATTAATTTTACTTCCTCCTTTTAATTTTCACCAAAACCAGCATCTTTTGCTGCTTCTTGCATTCAATACACATTGAGTCATCATCCCCTGATTTATTGTGCCCATTTCCTCTAGAATTCTAATATACAACTGTCATTCATATGTGCGATCACATCTCTGGGGTACTACCAACCCCATATTTAACCTGTAAAGCTTTGTCTTTCAGGTACCTAAAAAGCTTCATGAAATACAATGCTCAAGTGTTTCATGTCAGTCCATTCTATTATCCTGAGCATTTTTAGACATGTTCAGAATAGGCTTAACCTCAACTGTTGAAGTCAGCAGTGAAGTTCCCACCAAACTGTTGGGAACATAAAAGACTCCTAAGTGTAGTTCAAGAATTCGTCCAATAATATATTTATTCTGCAAGATATGTCAATGGCCAAACCATGACACATTAGCCAAAGGCAAAACTAGTAAAGAATACTTTAGCTTTACTAGTATTTAGTAGAAAATTGTTAGTAGAACTAATCAGATGTAGAAGAACTAGTCAGAAAGCAGAAGTACATTTTTTTGTGGGGAAAAAACACAGCATTGTCACCTCTCAAGTTTAATGATATTTAAACTGTTTAAAGTAAGTTTGCAGTTTTGTAAAGGAAGCATTTCTTTTGAGAGATATAAATATTCATTAATTTTGCTTTCAGGAAAAGTTTAGTGCTAGATAAATTCTGCAAAGCAGATGCTAGATCCAAGTTCTCTGTTTACCCTGATCATAGAATTGCAACCTCCATTCTGATTTAAACTAGTTTGCAATCATCTTTCTTGTACTAAGTTCTGCTATGTTTTTTTGAGCTAATTGTAAATCGATTTATATGTGTACACAGAGTTTGTGTTTGACTGATTTAAAATCAATTTTAGTAAAACAAATACATAATTTACAATATTACCCGGAGCAAAATAA